TGGAGTGTGAGATGAAATGGGGTTGAGTTTCTTTTGTTTTCATTGCTCTTGATGCTTTTGATTGACTATAGTCTGTAATGCTGTCTGTAGCGATGATGGCAATGGTAACAAGAGGGATTTTGAATTGATACTTCTCTGTTGTATGACGAACAAAAAAAAGTTTTGTTTTTCCGTTTGAAGTTTACAAGGTATGTCAGGGGTTTCTAAATATGAAAACTAGCATCTGTGGAGGGTCACTGTTATTGTCAATTGTCACTCTGAATTTTGGGACCATATCCCTGGATGCTTAACTCCCCTCCCCCTCCAATGCTTAAAAAAGAAAAAAAGAAGAAGAGTTGAATGGTCCAGGGCTCATTGACGTGTTTCATTCTTTTCAGGAGCTATTGGTTGCAGCACTATTTTACTTTTGCAACCTACATTTTGATAGAGCTCTAATATCTCTTTTCATTTGTTTGCAGTGATTACTTGTTCAAGCTCCTTCTCATTGGCGATTCTGGTGTTGGCAAATCTTGTCTCCTTCTGAGATTTGCTGTAGGTCTAAAACTGTTTTTGTAGTGAATATTGGAAATGTTTGTTTATTGGGTTTAGTAGTCTTTATATATGTGATTCTTTTCTGACAAAAAGTTTATGCACAGGACATAAGAAACCAAAATGCTACAACCATGGAGGAAAATTAATATGCCCGCACATTGTTTTATTTTCTCTGTAGACACATGTAGTTAAGTTTGTCGAGTTCTTTTGGGGTTGTATCTCTTACATTTGAGAAATCCATAATTTATATGATGCAGGACGATTCATATATTGAGAGTTATATAAGCACCATTGGTGTTGACTTTGTAAGTTAATCCTTGGAATTCCATAACAACTCTCCTTGGCAAAGTCATAACTATTTTACCATATTACTGATTTCATTTTTGTCTTCTTTTGTTAGAAAATACGTACTGTGGAGCAAGATGGGAAGACCATAAAACTCCAGATTGTATGTGCTCTGTTTTTTCTGGACATCAAGATTGCCATATTCTTTATCTATCACAATCATATATTGCTGATAAAGTGTGGGGCTTTGAATTTTTAGCACTTGGCGTTTTCTCATTGAATTATTTAATTGTTTGATTGTGTTTTGTTTGACATGTAGTGGGATACTGCTGGGCAAGAAAGATTTAGAACGATTACCAGCAGCTACTACCGTGGGGCACATGGTATCATAGTGGGTGATCATGTTCTACTAATCCTCTTTGTACTTTGATTTCACCCAGTGTTTTCTTCTTTTAACGTATCTCTTCCCTGGGGGGGGGTGTTTGTAGGTTGTTTATGATGTGACAGACCAAGAGAGCTTCAACAATGTCAAGCAGTGGCTCAATGAAATTGATCGGTATGCTAGTGATAATGTGAACAAACTTCTGGTTGGAAACAAGTCTGATCTCACTTCAAATAAAGTTGTGTCATATGAGCAGGCAAAGGTAGAGCTAGTTTTTCTTTATCTAGTGAACTGTTATAAGCTGTGTATAGGCATGTGTGTATTCATCCTGATCAAGCTATAAATATTACACTTGAAACTTTTTCTTCCCTTCCCACCTCTCATCTCCATCCTTTTTGTCCTCTATAGGCTTTTGCTGATGAGATTGGTATACCTTTCATGGAAACTAGTGCAAAAGATGCCACTAATGTAGAACAAGCTTTCATGGCCATGTCTGCTGCAATCAAGGATAGGTATTGTTCTGTTATCTTCTTATGTTAACATGGAACCTGCCTTTTCTCCAAAAAGAAAAGAAGTCATGTAAGACAAGTCTATGAGTAAGATGCTTATTATCAAGTTTTTCATGCATTTGACACAGATTAAAGAAGTGTTTGAGTAGCAAATGTTGCTTGAACTGAAGTAATTGCACTAGTCTGATTTGCTAGCTTTAGGAACAAGTCCATGACTGGCTTATTTGCATGTGTGAACTGTGATCTGGCTATCAAACCTTTCAAGTCAAAAGCTAGTGTGTTGAACAAATGGAGATTAAATGCAGGATGATTGGATTTAAATGAGCTGTAAACATATTCAATTTGATCCAAACGACCATAAAAGGCAGTGAACCAGATATTCTGGTTGATATGTAATGCCGTGTTAGGTGCTTGTTTCCAATCCTTGTTTTTAGGTTTGATTATGCCAATTGTCATGTCTAGAATCAGTGGTAAGATGTTAAAGAATAGATGAAATTTCTTGATTTGGTCATCGCTGTTGGCTATTTGTGCACTTGCTTGCATCTTTAATGTAACATATCTCATGCTCTAAACTTCCTATCAATCCAGAATGGCGAGCCAGCCAGCCATGAACAATGCAAAACCATCAACAGTGCAGTTCAAAGGACAGCCTGTTGAACAGAAGGGCGGCTGCTGCTCATCTTGAGCCAAAAAGAAGTATGATGAATTTTCTTTGGCCTTGTCCATTGGCTCAACCATTACTTGTAAGATACCCTTTCGGCCTTTCTTTTATTCTCATTCACTTAAATCCTATTTGAAGTCGACATTATTATCAATTTCCCTCATTTAAGTTCATGTAAACTGTTTCAAGGTCTGTTCTTTAAACACATTTGGGCTTGTACAAAGTAGTAATAGATATTCAAGGTTGTTCCTTATTTGACCCACTCTTTAAAAACAGATATTCCTCTTAGCTCGTTATTGCATGTTTTCAGTTCTGTGGTTATCTTGTTTTTTCGCTTTAGTGTGAGGTTCAAACACATGAATAAATGAATATGTTTCTTTCCATTATATTGGGCAAGTTCAACTATTGGGATGGATAAAGTTTATTCAACGCTAGTTGTCCATCTCCTTTTTCAAACAACCGAGTACAAAACAAGTAGGGATTCTAGAGTGTAGGAGGAATCTGTAGGACGAAGCAGAACATGTATGTAATATTTGGAGATCGTGATAATTGATAATTTGCGCAAGGTTTCGAAAGGAAAATTCTATCCGGGATGATTTTCACCATCAAGGGAAGGGAAACGGTAGCCTTGGACAACTCTGGGAAAATACCCAATAATGTCGTGGTTGAACTTCAGATATGGAGGTATCTACTGGCATGTATGAGTCAGATGCCTGCTCAGAAGTTGGCTCCTTGTTTGACTCTTTGGTTACGGATTGATGCCAATCTAGCCCCTAAAGTTAATATGACCTAAGGGATCAGTGGCGTCCCTGGGCTCTCTGTTAAGGATAAGCAGGGTGTAAGAGTCGCCTCGGTTTTCTTCTCGGACAATGTGTGAATGGGCCGAGTGTAGGGAGGATGGTTATCTCTAATTTGAACGAGCCTTGAAAGCATAGTTTAGTAAATTTATTTCTCCACTAAAAGCTACCAACCTCATGTTTCCGTCCATGTATAACCAGGCTGCCGCCACCTCCCAACCCCACCAAGGTTCGGTATGTTAGGGCCTGAGATCGGACTACATGGAACAAGATATGCAGAAACTTTTCGGTATGCGACGATGGTTGCTTTCCATTTCGTGTCTTTAGTTGCATAATTTTTTTTGAAATTTTTTTTGACGAATCTTAAGCTGCATAATCGCCAATCAAGATCGTTGTACTAGGGCGTGACAAGCATTCCAAAGAACTCGCATGGCAGCTGGTATTGCGTCCCAATTGACAGTACAAAGCTCAAGATATTGGCTGGCATATCTAGTACTAGTGGTGTTCAAAAAAACCGAAAAACTGATTAAACCGAGAAAACTAAAAAAAAAAAACTGAAAAAACCGAACCGAAAAAAAAAATCCGATTAAACCGATTAAAATTTTGAAAAAACTAGCCGGTTCGGTTTCGGTTTCGGTTTTATAACCAAAAAACTGAAAAACCGAACCGAACTGAAACCGGAAAAAAAACCGAGCCAAATCGATTTGAACCGGTTTTCCCTTAAAAAACCGAACCGAAACTGGTCGGTTTGACCCGGTTTCGGTTTGGTTTCGGGTTTTTTTTTCAAATTTTTTTTTTCCGGTTTGGTTACTTTTTTTGATAAAAACCGAACCGAACCGAAAATGAACACCCCTATCTAGTACACTACTTATTCAATCACTGGCAGCGGCAATGGGTATTTTGTCCCTATAGATTTCAGCGCGTGAAGGAGAAGAGAAAGAGTTGAGGAGAGAAGAGAAAGAAAGGGAGGGAGGGAAGGAAAGAGAGAACAAGAAGAAGAGGCTGAAGTATCCCAGTAGATTCCTACAGAGCATGGACTAGGGGTGAGCAAAAAAGCTGAAAAACCAATTAAACCGAGAAAACTGGAAAAAAAAATTGAAAAAACCGAACCGAAAAAAAAACTGATTAAACCGATTAAAATTTTGAAAAAATCAGCCGGTTCGGTTTGGTTTCATAACAGAAAAACCGAACCGAACCAAAACCGAAAAAAAACCGAGCTAAACCCGAGAAAAGCCGAGCCAAACCGATTTGAACCGGTTTTTCCCCTAAAAAAACCGAACCGAACCGAAACCAGTCGGTTTGACCCGGTTTCGGTTCGGTTTTGGGTTTTTTTTCAATTTTTTTTTTTGTTTGGTTATTTTTTTTGATAAAAACCGAACCGAACCGAAAATGATTACCCCTAGCACGGACCATTCACTATTATTACTGTTTTTCACTGCAGTTTCACTACGTTTTTTTAATTTTTTTATTATTTTTTTTGAAAAAGTTTAAATAAAAAATAAAAAAATATTACTTTAATAAAAAACATCTCCTGGCGTAAACGGTCCATGAACTTCTTCGCAGACATGACATGAATAAAACCCAAGGCATGGTAACGCTGAAACGAGTTTAATTTAGTAAAATCAGGTAACCTCTATTTTGTTGAATGAAAATCAAATTTATGAATAAAATTTATTTGACTGAAACAACGTTTCCAAGTCAGAGAAGAAAAAACACGCATCTAAGTACACTTCCATTGCTTTTTGTCACTTCGCAACCAGACACCTCTATGTTCTCATATGGTGTGCTTCGGTGGCAAAACACTGGAGATGTTTGCAGAAAGAAGAACGTCATAATTTTTTCTTGGAAAAATAGGGTTCATCATCTATTTCAAAACAAAACTGAGTAGCAATTTCTAGTCATAAATAACATGTACTTTCCCCAAATTCTCAACAAGATGATTGCATACCAACAAAGAGGAGACTGCAGGGGAACCAAAGAAACAACTGAAATATACATAGTAAAGCATAAAAATAAAAATAGATCTTTTGATACAGGAAACCATGTTATTCCAGTCAATTTCCTGTGCGTGATAGAAGAAAAGAACCCAAAAATGGATAGAAGCAGAGATTCTAAGCAGGGGTTCTGAAGCATCTCATTTGCCACCCAAGGTTGGGAATTGTCCAGGATCTTCAATGGATGGGGCTGGCACGCTGCTCATTCCATCTCTACTGCCAAAACCGCTGCTCATTCCATCTCTATTGCCAAAACCTCTTGCTCCACGGCCACGACCCCGACTGCGACTGCCTGCGCCATAGTACCTCTCCCCTTCAGCAGGCTTCAAGAACTCGTTAATGCTGACAGACTAAGAACATCACAGCAGTTAGGATGATGGTTAGCTAATCCAAATTATATCATGTGAGCAAAGTGTGAATTAAACAAGGCAAAACCAAAACAATTGAAGTTTTCACGGGAAAAAAAATGCCACTCAAGACAGTTCATGGTTATCAATAGCAACTCCCATGCAATCCAAACAAGAAGACAAACGAACCATTGTTCTATCCTCAGAAGAACAGGAAGGTAATGTCTGGAAGTGCCTATTACAACATACAAGCAACAAATTCACATGCTGGCCAGCTTATTTGATGGCCATCATCACATCATCAGCAGAAACAACAATAACAGACAGGTACAGAAAATAAAAATGAAAGAAAAAAAAAACAAAAGATGCCCTGAAGAACAAAGCAAATTGGTCAAAGCACTCTCCAAAGCTTCTACGTGAGTCAGTATGAAAAAAAGGCGAAGAAACATGGGCACACATAAATACCTTCTTAGCTTTCTCATACGCCTCTTTCCGCTTATCCTTGTCAGAACCCTTGAATATAGAAATAGTGGCAAAGATATTCAAAGGACTGACATTGGTATAAAACCAATGGGAATTTAAAAGCTTTAACAGAGCACAGTAGTCTCTACCAATTTAATAAAGACATCGTTGTTTTCCTTCTTGTTCGAAAGCTGTTGCATGGATTGAAACTCTTTAGCATCGACCTTTCTTTCTTCTGTCTTAAGTGCCTGCAGGGCCTTCCTCTTCTCTTCCAGCACCTTCTCATACTCTTCAAGAGTCATCACCTGAATAGAAAGAACAAAGTATCATAAGTCGTCCTTTCAAAATGGTAAAAGTTTCTTATAAAACTAATTGAACGATCAATGTTAGAATTGTAGTTGCTTGAATAGGTTTTGACTGAAAAGTTAGTCATTTAGTGCCCTAGAGCTAGAGCTCTTGTACAAAAAAGTTTAACACTCGCACCAAACACCAGAATTAATATCATGAAATACTCTCAAAATACATAAACCAGAAAAAGTAACACCAAGTCCAACCAATTACAAAATTTCCAACCGCCTAAATTGAAAAATGTGACAAGGGACAGAACTTGCAGATAACAAACATGTCAATATTTGTATGCCTCTACACATTCGTCCTATACATTCTGATATCAATAATGAAACTATGAATGTCATGCAAACTCTCCCCAGAGCAGAAAAAAACAAAATACAACAAGGTGATATGGAGGACAGACAAAATATCTAATTACTACAGAGTGCATTCACCTTATCCTCTGGTTCTTTCTCTTCAGGTTCATTAGCAGGGTTCTCCTTTTTCCCATCTGCTGCTGCATCCTCCACGGGCTTGTCATCGCCCCAATTCTTCTCACCCTCATTGGCAGCTTCCTCAGTTACCCTAAAATAATAATAATAATAATAATAATAACAACAACAACAAATACAAGTGCCCAACTATTCTTGAAATGGAGTAGTTCTTCAACAAGTATAACATGAATATAACACAGACTTTTACAGTGGAAATTACACACAAGGACATATAAAATGTTGGTTGGTTTTATAAAACTTACAGGGCAAGCTCATCAGTTGGAGTTCCCCAGTTACCACGACCAGAGCCTTCACGCTTCATCTCATTTCTACATGTATACAGAAGTCGAACTTAGATTCTTGAACACATGGCATATTATAAATGATAAAAATATGACAAACAATACAAACTATCATAAAAATTACTCACCCACGTCCAGTCCCACTCCAATGTTCATAATTTCGACGAGGACGCTCTCCTTCACCAACTTCTTCATTACCAAAACCCCCACGACGGCCACCACGGAAACCACCACCACGAGGTCCACCATATCCACGTGATTCAAAAGTCTTTGCAGTATCTCCATCTTCAGCAGCACCTTGAACAGTTGGTACTCCAGAGTTACCGAATGAGCTCTCATTGTTGTTGAAATCCCTATTATATCCCCCACGACCACGCCCATATCCTCTTCCTCCACCACTACCTCGGCCTCCTCCTCTCCCACCTTCAGTCTTCGCTTCCCTCACTTCATAAATATAAACACAAAAAAATTAGCACATTCACACACACGGATACGGAGACACCATATTGTGAAACCACAAGGCCACAAAAAATGAAAACATGCCAAGAAAGTCATCAAGCATACATTTTTAATACATTAATTTAGCTCATTCTACAAAATAGCAAATACAAAAAACTTCTTCACGATAATTAAAAAATCACAAATTTTCACACATAAAAAAAGCACTAAATCCACACACAAACAGCAAGATGAATAAAAATGATAATAACTGACCAGCCTGTGAAGGAGGTAGAGGCTTGGAAGGGAGCTTAGCAGCAGGAGCGGGTTTAGGTTGAGTCTGAGCTGGACCTTTTTTAGTAGCCGCTGCGGCGGGAGGAGAAACCACCGGCTTTAGAGCAGCGATGAGAGATGGATCCTCGGCGTCATCAACCAATAAATCAAAAGGATTGATCGTCGCCATTTCCGATAAACAAAAACCTCAGCAACAACCAAACTAACACGCCACAAAAAACGCCTCCACGAAACCCTAAGGCAACAAGACCTCCATATTTATCGTTTCTTGTTTTATCATGAATCTAGATCTGTAAGAATAAAGAACTCAATAAAGTTAGACAGAGAGAGAAGAGAAAAGAAAAACCCTAGCCGCAAGAGAGACAGCGAGATAGAGAGAGGGAGACCTACTGCGAGATGTTAATGTTGTTGGAGACTTGCTGCTGCTGTTTAGAGTAGAGTAGCGATTTTCTTTTCTATTTTTATTTTGTCGTTGATATTAAAGAGGGAGCGTTTCTCTTTAGGTGCTGGTTATTGGGTATATTTACGGCTATGCCATTTTCGAGATAAGAAAGGGTGGAGTGACTGGCCCCTGCTAGTGAGAGTGAGGTTTCTTTAGTCTATAGGTTTATCAAGTTGTGGACTCGTCGTTTTCCAGAATCAAGCCAAGATTGATGTCTTCGCACACAGTTTTTGCTGGTAGTAGAGATAGGATTTTGTACACAAATTAAAAAAATAAAAAAATAAAATATATTGTAGGTTTATATATTTATTTGCTAAAAATAAATAAATAAGTTTATTTTAATTAATAAAAGTATATAGAGAGAGAGACACTCGCATACATTTAATTGACTGTAGTTTATAGCTTAATGATTTTTCTCCTTGACTTTCAGGGCTCCGCTCCCTCAGGGTAAATTTGTTCTTTTGTATGTGACGGATGATTGATTTGTTTTGACACGTGGGGTTAGAATGACCGGTCATTTTCAGGTTTCGGTTACAGTTAATGTAATAAATAATTACCACGTCCTTTTTTATACTTCTTCAGCTTTTTTATTTGGCTGTTTGCCTTCCATGATTATCCTTATCGTAGGTTTGGATGTGGTTTATATGCCCTGACTGGTATGATTCGGCACAGAGCCAATGTCAGATTGACTAGCAAATCAGTAGGTTAATCTTGAGTTTTGATTTATTTTTTTTAATTCTTTTCAGGTTTTATTTTAAAAAACAAAAAAAAAACTATGAAAAAAAAACTGATTTCTTCAATTAATCCGGTTTCGGATCAAGTTCTGTAATTTGGTCTTGTGTCTAGGACTGCTAATTTTATTTTATTTTTAATCCTTTAGGCTAGATCTTGTGTCTAGGACTGCTAATCTAGGTTATGGATAATTTGGTCGAAAAATAACAAAATTGTTAAAAATCAATTGTAGTTAAGAAGACATACTCTTACCAATTGGAATGTAACCCGAAAGCAGAATATTATAAAAATAATAAGTTGTAAGGTGTTTTCTTCTTTTTTTTTTAATACTTTGTACTCGCTGTGTATTCTAACGTATCACTATGGATGTGGATTTGAACAGTATTTTTTAAAAATTAGTTAGGTCATTGAACCTTTTTTTTTCCACAATAGCACCCCTTTTGTGCAAAAATTAACATCTACTTGCTCTTTTTTAAAAAAAGAAACGGTTAAATAAAGGCATATGTTCAAAGTACAATAAAACAAGTAAAATAAATGGTAATTTTAAAATTCATCCAAAAATATTCATTTTAACCCGTTTCCTTTTTAGTTAAGAGATTATGAGTTTCTCTATTTGTTGAAAATTTAATTTTAGTATAAAATTTCATTTTATCAATCCTTTAAAAAGAGAGAGTTCCTGTGTATCAATGAGAATTCTTCATTAACACCTATTCCAACACTAAAATAGTTAAAAATTATGTCAATGAGTTTTATTTATTTATAAGAGTCTTATAATAGTTATTTTAAGCATTAATATTATCTAAAAAAATAAATCAAATATTTTTTATTGTTTAATAATTAAATAAAAAATAATCTCTGAATTTTTTTTTATTAAATTCAATAATGTACATGACTTGTGTCGCAAGTTTGGTTGGTGAAATCAATTTCACTTGGGTTTTTTTTTAATTGAATGTTTTTTTTATTAATTTAAACTTTCAACATTGAAGTAATTAGGAGATTAACTTTCCAAGTTTTTTTTAAAAATTATCCATTTGAATTTCACAAATTAATATGAATTGATTTATATAAATTTCTATTTCAATATTAAATTAAAATATCATTTTAATATGCAGTTGACTATCCATTCATAATTAGATTTTTGTTTAGAAGACACAAAAGCAAAAGCAAAGTATAATTTTATTTTTATTTTTTAGTTTTTTTTTTTAAATATTGCTGCAGACCCGCGGCGGCAATGGGCTAGTGCAAAATTAAACAATCTGTTCAGGTAAGTGAAAAAACGATATTAAAGCACAAGCAAACGGCGGGCTGTCGTTTAATCTAGAATTGAACTGGCCATCTGTAGATTTCTAGGGCTCATGGATATTAAGAGGTTATTATTCGATTGACTGACAAGACCTAATTATTCGAATGGGTTGTTTCACTTGCTTAACTAGAAATTTTCTTAGATTTATTAAATTCTACTGTCAATAATGGAACTCGTCACATTTCTCTGGTTAGAACAGCGAGCCTAGCACTGCATTTTCAATTTTTCAGGTCCCATGCTACACAAGCTCTTTTGAGCTCTAGCAATTCTTACCGAAGCTTAAATTTAAATGCACGAGGTATGATCCTGACAGAACAATTTGCAAAACATCAAACTTGATACTCAACTAAATCTAGTTTCAATCCCAAACTAATTGGGATCAAATGCAGAGACTTCAAAAAGGGTTCATTTTGGAAATTGTGAAGTTGAATCGCTGACGATTTAAACTTCTTCCGACTCGAACGCCCTTTACATATAGATGCATTCAGTGGCACCAGGTATCATGTTCATATGCCTAACATCATGAGCATATAAATCAACCAGGATGAATAATTATTTCTCATATATTATTATATTAAAATAATTTAAACCATTGCCACCAGCAAAAACGTATCACAATTTTTACATGCCTCGAAATAATGAGGTTTTATGCACACGCCGATCCCAAAAACATTATCTACTCCAAAGCATCTTTTCTTCTCGTCTCACCTTTTCCTTTTCTCCTAATGATCACATAATGAATTTTTGGCAAATTCTAAAATCCTGGTAAAACTGAAAGATCTGCTATGCCTCTAGGCAGGTCTGCAATTTTATTTAGCAGAGCAAGCCTGTTCTTCCTGATTCTTTCATCCTCCTGCGTGCAGACAAAAGTCATGTTACACAATATTGGGCTCCATTAATAGCAATTATAAGAGAGAGAGAGAGAGAGAGAGAGAGAGAGTTGTTATAAAAAGTAATTTGCAAAGCAATTAAAGCATGGATAATCTGCACATTTCATGGGTAGACTAACACTATGGCTTAAGGTCAGGCAGGACGAGAGCATGGAGATTAATGATAAAAATCTCAAATGTAATTTCCAACAACGAATATAGACATTAATGATAAAAATAATTGAGTCCTGTAGAAAACATACCACCATGACAAAAACATTATTGAAGAAATCCTCAAGCGGCTGTAGTAGCTCTGAGGATATCTCAACAAACTCATCAATCTCAATGCCTGTAAGATGGATGTGTTTATCTCAAGGTCAGTTTAATAAATGCCATAGTTCACTAATGCAAATCAATGCAAATTGCAAAATATTTCAAACCCAAAAGGAAGCATGTCCCATGGGAAAAAGCGATCCCAATTCCATGAGAATGATCATTTTATGAAGAAAGATCATGTACCAGGATAAATTTTGCTTTTAGCGGACATGAAAGTGCTCCATAAAGCTCTCTCTTCATCTGTTTCAAACGCAGCCTCATCCACCTAATAAACAATTTCATACCATTAAAAGGAGATTTTCTAGCATAGACTGGTGCTCAATAAAATATATAGAACATAGAAATACAAAAAACTATGTTTTGAAGTAGCACCATCTTAGAGACAACCACAGAAACATGAGAAGATACTAATGGTTAAATACAGTGGTACGTGGAATGCTATCTGATCTTCAAAGATGGAAGAAGCCCAGATGGAAGAAGCCCGGAGATATGTGAAGATACTAACACTGATAGAGGAGTCCGTGTCAAAGGAGGTAATGCTTTATTGTCAAATATCTTGGGAGATGACTTTAAGGAGGACAGGGGGCACCTCGTAGGGGTTTTGAAGGCTCAAAATGGGAGAAGATCAAAGGATGCAGATGATTGACAAAATTTAGCTCCCCGAGATGCCATTATTGAGGTATAATGTGATCTAGATGTGCATATTTTAGTATTATCACAGAAGGGACCATGGCTTTAAATAAGAGGGCATTGCATAAGTTTTGTTTGAATATGCAAGTGGTGGTTTTGCTAGCTTGGTGATGTGGTAGTTGGTGGTGCCTTATCTTGGGTGGTGTTGGATGGTGATGGGTGCCTGGATTCTCCATCCTCAATCCACATGTCGGTGATTCCTTGTGTAGTGCATTCTATCAGTGGAGCCAGAGGTAGGTGAATTGCAGGAAGAGGTAACTCCCTTGCTAATATTTGACAGGATTAGTGTGCACTGTTATTTGATTTTGTTACCCTTTTTAGTCTCACTTGCTTATAAAAGGATGTGGTGTTGTCTAACTTCATCTTCTACCTTCAATTAATTTAATTAATAACACACCGTTCTTTCATCTGAGAAATAGTACCTTCATATCAGTGTCCACATCCTTGCCACGGACAATTCTTGTTGGACGAGAATATGCTTCAACTACCTTAGGGAAAAGATTTTCTCTTGACAAAGCCTCCATCTGAAACAAATTTTAAGTCACATTCAAAATTGATAAAGCATTCAAGAAAATTAGAAGGATGATAAATAAGACCATCCTTTTAGTTTCTTCGTTTCATGCTCATTAAGTTAGGAAATGAGTCTGAGTCATGTTCACCAAGAAGTGCTTTCTTAGTAACTTCTGCCCTCTAAAAAAAAAAAAAAAACACGCATACAGAAGTACATGATGAATTCTAGCCCAACAAACTCTTCAGATCCAAGATTTTTGGGATAACAGATGCAAGTCGAACCATTTCAAATTTGAGAACGTTGTAAAATACCATCATTTACCTATTCATTGCTCCCTTTGCACTAAATCAAGAGTCCATTTTTTAGCATACATAATTGTTTCAGGCAAAGCTTTCTAACATAATCCACATTTTATGCTTGAAATCCAGTATTACCACAACTTCAATGTCATTTATGTGGCAAGAGCAGACAAATTCTAAGGTGTTAGTTGACTTTCTTACTAGGACAGATATTTAGAGGCAAAATAAAACCTCGAACTAGAGCATTTTTTGGGGCCAGGGAATATTTTATAAGAAAAAACAAATCAACTACTATAGTTTACAAAATCTTACATATATGTTTC